CTTTCTCAGAGTTTTGACCTAGAAACTTACCTTTCCTCACTTTCTTACTGCATTATAAAAAAGGAGAGATGGTGAGACATGAGACTAAGACAGACTTGTAATATACTCGTTTTGAAAAGGCATTTATCTTTCATACATGCTGCTACATGCTCTGAAAACAGTAGCAGAAATCCTACTAATTTCAGGGGGTATATAATTAACACTAACTTTAACTGCAAAAAATGTTTTTACATGGATTAACACAACTGTTGTGAAGTGAGAAAAATAATCCATAGGCTGCTACTGTTTTATAAGCTGATCTTTAACCACGATCAGAAAGCAACAAGCACAATATGCAGTTCTCATTTGCTTGCCAGACATGGGACTTACTCCTTAACTGTAAAACATCCAAGAGTGTACATTTACACATCCAAGAGTGTCAGTACCTTTACTTACTCTTCTGTTTCTGATAGCTTTGGGCAAAATGTCATGCGCCACAGAGCTTACGGCTGGTGGTCACAGGTTTGCCTGTTCCCTCTTCTGAATGCACCCTCTCAGATTGCAGTGCTTAAATCTTCTAGTCCTATGCAGATAGGAACTCCCAATTCCACTAACTCTTTATTAAAACTGGAGTCATAATATTCTACTTTGTTCCTAACAACTCTCTCAAAAACAGCAATAGCAAAAACTGGCCCTGAGAGAGAAGCGATCTTGGGGAGCAGCATATGGCTTGCATGGGAAGGCTCTTTGCTGATCAAGGCTTTGGGAGTAAACCTGAGTTTCTTTTCTCCTCAGGATAGATAACCTTAACACTAGGTAATCACACACGCTCAGATTTAAGGTATTTTCACCAGAAAATACAATGATCTACTACAGTGTAAGCTTTTAAGAAGCTAGAACTAAAAATACATTCAGATAGCAGGCTGAAGGCTCACACAAGTAGGCTTAACTCATAGGTTTATAAGGTGTTGCTAACAAATGTTAACATTAACACTGTACCTAAATGTTATCCTTCTCAGCATCTGACTGTGTTTCTTTTAATTCTCAGTCAAGTCTCTTGTTCAAGGATTCATAACAATTAGAATACCCTATTGCAATACCTTTCCTTTTGCTTTTTACTCCTATTCTCTAGAGAAACATTTCTGCATTCCTTTCTGTCTTCCTTGGCCACCTATTCATTACCAAATGTATCATTTTTAAACCTTTCCCGCTCTACAGAGCATCCTGTACCTGATAGTTTATCTTCTCAAGTTTTCCTCCACTCCACTGCCACTCCCCACCTGAATTAGTATTAGTATGTCTACCATAAAGCTTCCCACATATGCTCTCTCTATAGACATAAACTATGAGCACAATCCCATCCTGAATGTGTTCATCGAACACTTAATGTATGCTTGCAGTCTCCATCCTCCAGCTTTTTCAAGATGCAACTGCATAAAGCCCTGAACAACCTTGTCTAATCTAACAGCTGACTCTGCTTCGAGCGAACGACCCTCAGGTCCTTTCCACTCTGAATTATTTTATGATTCTAATCATAATTTGAGATACTATGTAATTTTTGTTCCGTTCTGGTTGAAAATAATTTACTCCATAAAAAGTAACTCCAGAGGTATACTCCTTACACAGTTATCTTAAAAAAAGAACCAGTTGTATTTCTACGTAGCAATGAATCCTGGAAGCCACCATACTATCAGCAGTGCAGGAGAGTACAGTGGGGACATGCAAGAGCAAAATAAATCATGAAGAAGATTTTGAGTTGAATTTGCTTGATGTACAAGGAAATGGGGGGCAGTGTAGAGGACATACAGCATTTCCTTTTTTTCATAATTTCAGAAAAGACAGACATCTTGTTACTGTGTATTGATAAATCACTAGTTAAGTTCCAGGCTCTATTAAAAACATGTAAAGTTTAAAAATGAATTTTTTTTACCTCACTTTCAAGAAAGAAAAGAACCAACATTCTAATAAGGTTTCCATTTGGACTATTTCGCCCCCTCCTCTTTGCTAGAGCCTCTTCAGCTTGGGGATCATGTCTGCTGAACAGTCTAAAAATAAGCAAAAGGAGCTATCATGTTTATAAAAACAAATCTCATTTGTGCAGTAATATGATGAGCATTCATTCTTGATAGTGTAATTTGTTCATAAAACACAGCAAAAGTATCTTAAGCT